CTATCTGCATTTATCGTCCGTTTAAAAATGCTTTTCACCATCGTTTAACACCCTATACACTAAATAAACTGTTCCCATAATGATAAATGAAACGGCTATGTCAAATATAAAGGGAGCATTCTAGTTTTGTTGCGCGCTCGCAGTATAGATAAGGTGCAATGTGGTTTCTACGGGTTTGCATGTTAAAACCTGCTGAATTACTGGAGCAAAGGTTAATGAAGATTGTCTCCTGTCGTTTCAGCTGAAGTGCTCTCTTCGGTTTTATTCATATAGGAAATATGATTTGGGAAAGTGAGATGTGAAACCAAAACAACCAGGGATGCCAGTGCCTTTTAGATAGTATTTCTAATGGCAACTATATATGGGTTTGTCACACCACGCTGGATATGATAAACACAAGAGATAAAGCGTGATACTAACGGTTTTCCCTCGTACATGCACCATGTGCACTGGCTATTGTAGCCAACACACAAACACCGATTGACACACCGCGCAAATGCACCAAAAGGGCACCCACGCGCTTCGCTTTATGGGTCTTTTTGTTGTCCTCTCAAACCAGGAATCGCGAGAAGCGGGTCAGTGGAGCACGCAGGGAGATTAGCCCACATCTGAGGGACCCACCTGCTTGTGTAGTATCGGTCAGATCGTAGTTGAGCCCCGGAAAGTCGCGCAGTTTTCTTCCGCTGATGTTGAGCATCCCGGAGCAGACAGCATCTTCCAGCGCTCGTTCAAGACTGCGGGCGGTGTGTAGCGGGTGTTGCTGCTGCTGCATCACGCCTGGGTTCCAGTGCGCGACATTAGGATAATGCTGGCTCTGGAGAGCCGCCGCAGGTCCTCCTGCTCCCTGACTCGCCGCCATTTTCATAAGTGAAATTATTCTTACAATAATAATAGGGGGCTGCCTGGCGTGCCGCGCATGCGCAGACGAGGCAGACGGAGGTGGGGAGGGGATGGGCTACTACTGAAAAGGGGCGGGGGATTGGCTCAGCTCTAAGGACGGCAGGTATACTGTAAACCAAGAGAATTAATTTATGTTTTGCCTTTTATTTTATATAGGTAAACCACTGGTAAACCACTATGATGTTATTTGTCATCGGGAATATTTAAGCGCGAAGAATGGATAGCGGGTTAAACACTTTCAAAAGCTATTTAGTCATCCTTCGAGGCGTTTAAAAAAATGTTTAAGATGATTGTTGAGTGATATGAGCTAGAAAGAAGGTTTCATGACTTTCCTTTTAGGGCGTGTCTTATCTTCTTTCATGTGGTGCCCGGCGGGTGTTCAGTTGTGGTTGTGTGGCACAGAAAAACGGGCCATGTGCCCTGAGCTCAGAGGCGAACCCTGGCGGATGAATGGAAAAAATATTTACATTTACATTTAGTCATTTAGCAGACGCTTTTATCCAAAGCGACTTACAAATTAGGACAATGAAAGCAATCAAAATCAACAAAAGAGCAATGATATGCAAGTGCTACAACTCTCAGTTAGCTTAACGCAGTACACGTAGCAAGGTTTTTTAAATTATATAATAAATAAAAAGAAAACAGATAGAATAGAAAAAGAATAGAGCAAGCTAGTGTTAGAGGTCTTTTTTGCTTTTGTTTAATTGTATAATAAATAAAAAGAAAACAGATAGAATACAAAATATTAGAAAAGCTAGTTTTTTTGTTTGTTTGTTTTTTAAGAAAACAAGCAGTAAATGAATAGAGTAAGTCTAAAAGGGACAAGTTATTTTTTAGAGGGTCGAAAAAAGATGGAAGAGATGTGTTTTTAGCCAATTCTCAAAGATAGCTAAGGACTCAGCTGCTCGGATTGAGTTGGGCAGGTCATTCCACCAGGAGGGAACATTTAATTTAAAAGTCAGTGAAATTGATTTTGTGCCTCTTTGGAATGGCACAATAAAGCGACGTTCACTTGCAGAACGCAAGCTTCTAGAGGGCACATAAG